ATTTTGGTGTTATTTTGTATGGTTTGAAATGTTCTTTTGGAATCCGCTGTCAGATTTAATATTGGTGTACGGTTTAAAAAAAATGCCACATCCCTAAACAACACGAGTAAATAAAACTGGAGCAAACAAAGCGGTACTCTTCTTGTGTAAAACTAAACCCACAAGAAAAACTCTTTTTGTCCTCTTAAAGATTTCCTTCACAAAACAGTTTTCAACCCATCAAATTAGTTTAAACGAAGGTCRAGTTCCCACTACTTGTTTATAATTAATCAAATGAAAAGCTTACCGCTAGCCAGGACCTGCCCACCTCTGGCAGGATAAACTTCACCGGTTGCACCCTCTCCTTTTCCTTCCTCTCCTTCTTCTCTGGGTTGATGATGGAGTTGAAGACTACTACRGCACTTTTGTGCTTCAGCCACGGCACGTTTAGCACACTGTCCAGAGTTTTAAACGGCCCATTTTTACTCCTGTACTCRATAACGTTGAGCGACTTGTGGCCTCTCAGCAGTTTCACGCCGGCCAGCTCTGACATGGAGGCGGTGTTGAGCACCTTGAGGATGGTGTTCCTCTGTTCTAAAGTGTAGACGTCATCCAGGGATTTGTTGCCKTCCTCCTTACAGGGCTCAGACGAGGAGGAGGAGGAGGAGGACGATGACGACGACGACGAGGTGAGAGTGGAGTTCAGGGTATCGAAGCTCGCCAGAGGAACACGGTTCCTCCAGCAACATGTGCACGGGAGGTACTGCAGCTCCAGTCCAGGGAGGGAGCCAAACCGAGGGYGGCGGAGTAACCCGAGCTCTCCTGTAGAGGACACACAGTGAACAACTTATCAACTTATCTAACTCATAATATCTAATGTTGGTGTTAGAGAAGAGCACACAACTACAGCTGTCTTTAGAGGATTATACTTTAAAAGCAAAGACATTTTAGTAATGTCTGATTGAAAATATCCTCATAAACAGAATAAAGTATGCAAGCAGAAGGTATCACCTCCAGCTTTCTTTGTGTAGTCAAAGGTGCTCCTCAGGGACAGATATATCAACAGATTTGATCGAAAAATATCAAACATTAAATATAAATCTATTATATGATGATTATAGAGTGATGAACTCTGTTGCATCCACACCTTATCAGGGCTTTAACAGCACCAACAATTTTTTATTAATGTCCAAGAC